CAGAAGGATTAGATGCAGACTCACTTTTTGACTGTATCAAAATGACCCTCAGTCGTTGTAATATTGATATAAATTGCTGTGTCGGACAGTGCTATGACGGTGCTGCTGTTATGTCCGGGTGCAACAATGGAGTTCAAGAAAAGTTGAGAAAAGAGGTGCCGCAAGCTGTGTACATTCACTGCCATGCTCACAGGCTGAATCTTGTGTTAGTAGACTGTGTACATAATGTTGATGCTGCAGCCGATTTTTTTGAGATATTGCAAATGCTTTACAAGTTTTTTTCTGGGTCTGTTGTTCATGATCTTTTTTTTGAAGAAGCAGGAAGAACTTGTGTCAGCTGTACAGCGCCTAGAACTTAAAAGACTCAGTGACACCCGCTGGGCGTGCCAGTATGATTCCATACGTGCTGTCAAAAAAACTCTCCCAGCTGTTATAGCTACGCTGCACGATGTTGTTGACCAGAAAAATGCTAAAAGGAGGACGGAGGCTAAAGCTCTCAGTGCACTTATAGATAAGAAGTTTGTTCTGCATCTTGTAATTTTTGAGGATATTTTCAGAACAACAAAATTCATGTCTGATCAGCTACAGTCTCCTAATTTAGATCTAGTAGCAGCAAATGACCTGGCTCATTCTGTAATAACTGCTTTAACAGAAAAACGCACAGATGACAAATGGGAGACACTCAGAAAAGAAGCAGAAGAACTTTGCAGCAACACAGGAATAGCAACAGAGACTGTACATCGGCAGAAAAGACAGACTCAAACAGCTAAACATCTAGAGCACTTTATTGTGGATGCCTCAATAGAAAGAAAAGGTGCAGACAGCACGGATGACCTAAAAACAAAATCATTCTATTCTGTTATAGACAGGATGCTAATGGAAATGAAACAGCGTTTTTCTTCAGAAACTAATGAAGTACTGAAAGGTTTGCCAGCTCTAAACCCCAAACACCCATCATTCCTTGACAAAAAATGGATACTGCCTATGGCCTGTCTTCATGGAGTTAACGAGGAGAACTTGTCAGCTGAGCTCCACCAGGTTCGCCGGCTGCTGAAAAGGAAAGAAGAACTGGGACTTATAATCAACAACACACAAGACTTCCTATCTGTGATGCGGCCCTACAAAGATGCATTCCTGGACTTGTATAAGCTGATATCCATATCTTTGACTCTTCCAGTAACATCAGTGAGCTGTGAGCGCAGTTTTTCTTGTTTGCGTCGTTTGAAGAACTACCTAAGAAACAGCAGCGGAGACAGTCGAACAAGTGACCTGGCACTTCTTGCTATCAATCCTTTAAGAACCAGGACCCTGGACAGTGACAGGATTATTGATGCTTTTGCCCTCAACCACAATAACAGGCGGATTGTCCTGTTATGAAGACTTCTGATGGTGAGTGAATGATTTCAATCTTCTCTGACTTTGTAATGCATTCAGCATTGTGGACTGAAATTGTTTATGTGATACATCTGGGGAAACAATGTGAATTTGTTGTAACAGTTTGCATACTAAGATCTATAAATATGGCAAGTGTGTCACGTTTGTATATGCTTTAAATTAATTGCAGAGTACCACATTATTCACTATCCACTGTATTGGTGACTGCTGATGTCAGAGTTTTCAGTGCACCTGTGTGTGTGTGTGTGTGTGCGTGCACGTGTGCTTGTGTTTGTGTTGATAACTCTAGGGAAGAAAAATAACCTTCATAGCACCCACAGTAAAATGCTTAGCCTCCCCTTAGCACCTGCTGAAAAAAATTTCTGGAGCCGCCACTGCCCCATAGTGAGGGCATGAAATGAGACAGTTATTCCTTAAAACATTTCAAAGCTCTAACTTGGTAATTGCAGCCCCAATTCTAACACTTTTTTCACATGCAAAACAAACTCTTAAATTTGTTTTTTATTTTTTGGAAGTCTATTTATTTTGTAATGAAAACAGTAATATATTTACAGTTATAGAAAACATGTAAATCTATATACTGTCCTTGTTAAAGAAAAGAAAACTATGGAAGAATAGGACAGAGAAAATATCCTCTATACAATGTGCACATAAAGTAAACACTCATGCTACACACATTTTGATATTTAATATCTGTCATTATCAGAAAAACAATCTGCACATCCATTTGTTTTCTGCCTAGAGAATTATATGCATCTAAATATTGTGAAATACAAACAAATGCACACAAGCAGGGGAGATTTCAGTCACCCCCAACTAGACCGGTGACTGTCAGCAGACAATGTAATGTTTGTAATATGGATGCAACTGATAGCTCTCCAGGTGTCAGGCAAGGAAATGTAGCCCTTCTCAACAGAAAGGTTGGCTAGTCTGTAGGGAAACCACAATCTCTCCCTTTAAATAACAAATGATTCTCGGCTTGACCCTACACAGCTATCCCTAACCACAAATTTGAAGATTGTGTAGTGAAACTCAAGCCTCAGAAAATATAGAAAACATATTGCCACAACATGGATTTAGCCAAAAAAGAAGTTTCTCCTGAAACAAGTTGCACGTGTCCATCCTTATAACTATACTGTGATAGAACTTGTGGTAAAACTTATTTACAAACATATGTTAGACATTTTGTGTCATTCAAACAAAATATCCATCATCATTTCATAGGTTTTCAAAATATTTTTTTTATGGGTGAGGTTTAAAATTTAAACTTTCTGGTCTGGTGAGAGTTGTCTGAGCTGCAGTTTGACCTCTAGGTCAAACTACCCAAGTGGCTCAGGGTTGCTCCTTTTGGACAGGTCATACAACAAAAGAGTACTCTCCATGGTCCTGAAACCAGGACAAAATCAATAACAGGAGCAGCAACATTAACAAAACCTTTAGCTGTGCTCCTGTGTTCTGTGTTAAACAGAGAGAAAGGCCTCCAACCAGCCGCTAAGAGTTGAGCCCACTGCTCATGACGAGATTTACTCACCTCCTCTCCGTCAGCCATCAACAGCATGTGAAACTTTTACATCAGCATTACCATAGCTACCGGTACTTAAATGTGGGAACATAAAATACAATTTCGTATCAAACTCATATTTATCAAAATGCTTGTGAAACAACAATCCTCAAATAAATAGCTCATAGATTTGGCAAAACCTTTTCCTGATATTTTCATAGATTTTCAGTCCAGTATCTGACAATTGATATGGGAATATTTTGCATCTCTTTGTTAAACCATTTAACTCTAACATCTAAATCCAGCTGCTATAAAAATCCTTTTAAACTTAAGTGCTGAGTGGTGTTTTGTCTGCACATATTCAACAACTTAGCAAAAAAACAAAAACAAACAAAGCAATCTGGATATTCACTTTACAGTCAGCCTGTTGTAAAACAATTTTTCCCATTTCTTTAATTGAATATATGAAAAATACCAAAACTTTGACAGTAACAACAAGGTGAATCCAAAAAAAGCTATTAGTTTATTACTTGTATACAACAGATAAGCTGTTCCAAACGGTTTCCCCAAAAATCCTCTTTTCTACACAAACAGGTAAGCTGTGCCCCTTTGTCACATCCATGCACACTCATATGAATGAACAATCATGAACGAGTGTGAGCAAAAAAGGAAATAACAATTTAGCATTCTTTTATTACAGGACTTCCAGTTCAACTCATGGAGTAGACAGACATGTAAAACCGCTCTCCCAAATTGATAGCACAAATCTTTCTGAATAACTCAGTAGTATAACAACATCTGACTGGGAGAACACTTAAAAACGGGAAGGACTCTTTAGAAGACAAACAACATTAAAAAATGGCCTAAATCACAAGATAAAGGTAACTCGACAACAAAAGCTAAAGCTGAAGTGTTTCAAACTAGCACTCATGCGAGCATAGACCCTACAGAAATATTGGTGGAAATAAAGGAGCTAAGATATCTTAAGAGACTATGTGAACTTGAGAAGTTAAATTACTTAATTTGAACAAGAAATTAAAGGCAAATACAACGGCCTGACAACGTAGGTGCAGAACCTGTCTGAACGAGTGGGCAAGATGTAACCGTGAGTGGAGCAGGTGGAGCAGTGGGAGGCAGAGGTGACCGCAGAACTCTAACAGCCTGGACCAGCAAAAGGATTTACTACGTAAATATACTGACCTCGAGGCCAGAGCCAGAACATGTGCATCTTTGGAGTGGCTGAGGGAGAAGAGGGAAACTTGCTACATCAAATCATTGAATAATTTCTTTTAAGCAAGCTGCATACAACTCCGGACCTGGACCTGAAAATACAATGAGCCCATCGCTCTCTGGCTCCTAAGCCCTGATCCAAGGGACTACCGAGACCCATTGTGGTTAACTTTCAAGAATTTAAAACTCAGGAGATTGTGCTGAGAGAAGCTAGGAAGAAAAGAAAAATCCAGCTATGTAATAAAACTCTGTATTCTGCCTATGACTACCCAGCAGGGATAGTTAAAAGAAGACAAGAGCATGGTGGAATAAAGAAAATGGGTATTGAAGTACCCCAGCAGAATAAAGACGTCCCCAGCTGGTGCACCTTCCAGCACCCTTGCCAAGGACCCCAAGAAGACCAGATACTCTGAACTGTCATTGGCGTGTAGGCACAAACAACAGTCAGAGCCCATCCATCCACCCGCAAGCACAGGGAAGCCAACTTCTCTTCTACTGGAGAAAATTCCAAGACACAGGCACAAGTTAGGGGGCCAAGAGTAGACCCACACCAGCTTGACATCTCTCACCATGGGCAACTCCAGAGTGGAATAAGATTTATCCCCTCTCAAGGAGATCCCTTCCAGAGCCCATGCTGTGCATCGAGATGAGCCTAACTATATCTAGTTGGTACCTCTCAACCTCATACACAAGCTCAGGCTCCTTCACCACCAGAGGTGTCATGTTCCATGTCCCAAGAGCCAGCTTTGGTAAATCAGGGTCAGAGCGCCAAGGCCCCTGCCTTCCGCCACTGCCTTCGGCCACTGCCCATGACATCATGCACACAACTTTTATGGGACACTGTGACACTGAGTTCCTTGATTTGTGTTGTCCATCAAAAGTCTTTGTCCTTTAAGATGTTGTGGAATTTTCCTATGCAGTGGCAACTGTGTAGACCTTCCAGTGAGAAAAGAGGGCAGCACACAATCTTCGGGGCTGTGTTGATAACTCTCTGGATCACTTTTGTCTGAGCCACTGTGCAGCTAAAATACCACCCATTGATGCAGTATGTTACAATGCTCTCTATGGAGCACTGGTAGAAAGACACCAGCAGACTCTGGGTGATGATGTTCCTCGTGAGCACTCTCAAGAAGTACAGTCTCTGTTGGGGATTTTTCAACAATACAGAGGTGTTCACACTCCAGGTCAGATTCCCCCTAATATAGACTCCCAGGAAATGGTAGTCAGCTACTCTTTCCACGCCATCTCCACTTATAATCAGGGGTGGACCGTCATTTACATTGTCCTAAAGTCGATGATCAGCTATTTGGTCTTTGATGTGTTGAGGAGCAGATTGTTGCCCCTGCACCAAGCAGTTAGTTGTCCCACTATGTGCCTGTAGGCAGACTCATTCCCCCCTGTGCCAGCGGGGCGTCACCTGTTACTTCTAGGCTTTTCTTAAAATTTGTGAGATGCTGTATTGCCTGCCAAACCTGCCTGTATTTGTTAGAGTTCAAATGGTCATCAATCCTCCTCCTGTAGTCTGACTGAGCCCTCCTGGTGCCTCTCTTCAGGTTGGCTCTGGCTTCACTGTGCTACACACATCCAACACAAGGAGAGAGACAGGTGTCCTCTACATCTCCACTTACAACATCCAACACCAGGAGAGACACAGGTGTCCTCTACATCCCCACCTACAACATCCAACACCAGGAGAGAGGCAGGTGTTCATGCGTGCACATCTGCTCACAGACTCATGTTCATGTTTGTGCTGATGTTCAATGTTTTATGTTATGAGTGCTTAGTGTATATTTAGTTGATGTTTTTCTTAGTTCATATCTTAGATGTTATTACTGTTTTTCTTATACATTTTATTGTTGGATGTAACTGGGACCTTGTGTACATAATTTCGTTCCACCACATGTACCACATGAGGTGCGAATGACAATAAAGAAACTCTGACTCTGACTCTGACAAAATCCAACACAAGGAGAGAGACAGGTGTCCTCTACATCCCTACCAACAAAATCCAACACAAGGAGAGAGACAGGTGTCCTCTACATCCCTACCATCAACATCCAACACCAGGAGAGAGGCAGGTGTCCTCTACATCCACACC